ACAAAACCTCCACCCGTGTTCTAACACAGCACATGATTCCGAGCCAAGGGTGTGACTGCAATCTAGTCATGCCTTTTCTGCAGCTGAATTTAACTTATGGAAAGGTGTTGGAAAAAGCGTTGATGGTAAAGTAACAATGACCCGATCGTCACAGCCATTGCATGAGCCGGCTCTTGAAGAAAGTTGAGAATGCAAACCGCTAGCATACACTCAGGAATGTTATTGGGCAAAATAAACAGGTTGGAAGAGTTTCCGTGGACCCAAATTATGTAAGGATAAAATCAGTTGAACTCCCTCAACGCGTATTTTAAATAAGACGAAGCTTCCTCACCGCCACCTTCAGCTCTCCTGCGGGTCAAACGCCTGAGTTGCCTTAGACATTAGAAGTGCAGAGCCGAAATTGTAAGGCGACAAAAATGAGGGACAGATGGCGCCCATCCTTATCCACAGGCGAGGGCTTACATACCCCGCCTCCAAAGAACGTCCCAAACCTGCTCCCCTCTCCAAATACAAGGGTCGTTTAAGCAGCAGATTTGTTGTACAGTTAATGTTGGAACCTAAAATCTAATGGAAAAGACTATACGCTCCACCAATTTGTGGACATTCGTGCTTAAACTAAATGTTCATGGGCGCATGACAATGAGGCAAGAATTGTGTACTCTAAGGCCTACTTTCGCGAGACAATTTACGATACGAAAATTAACTTACAGAAGCCGAAATCCTAGACCCTCTATAAGGTTATCCGGAAGCACTTGTGCACTGGCGTCATAGTCTGGTTTCGTCGCCATTTTACTGCTTGAGTACTCTAGTCGACTAAGCTCAAAATCTCAACATTTGTGAAAACTTTTTGAAATTACTAATTGAACTAATTGTCAATTTTTAAATCCTGTGATTGAACCATTTTGGTTGAATTTTATTGACCTATTGCTTTAATGCTTACAGAATAGCAAGCGCACTTTCTATTGGTGGAAACTAAAAGAACACGAACTTGAATATTTTTCGCGATGAGTTGTGATGACATTCGAGGTTTGCGTGCACTAATACAAAGATGTGTAAAAATGGTTTGTTGAAGCTGGTAGACTACTAATCGCTGCACATGTAGCATCAGTATCGGTCGGCTGTTTTTTGGGCTGACAAGTTAATAAACTTATCAAAAGGTATGATAGATTATCCTAACTATCTGCTGCAGACAATATCAAGGACACGCTTCTTCTTGCTGATGTCTTGATTACTTCGGGCCAGTATCGTAGAGCTATCGATCTTCTAACTAGAAACGACAAATTGTGGGTTAGTTGTAACACTTGCTTTAGTAAGTATACATCCAGGATAGCCAGTATGCGCGTTTTCTTGTCGCTCAATGTTACTTCAAGTGTGGCGAATTTGTTGAGGCTCTCAACATTTTGGAAAACTTAGAGAATTTCCAACAGAATCCGTTCAAGTTTACTTCATGTTCCTTCATAAGTTTCTCAAATCCTGATGTTCATCATGAATCGGCCTTAAGCAGCTTGGATTCTGTATATCTTCCAGACGGCGTTAGCCATGTTATGGTACCTAAAATCTCTACTTTAATCTGGTTAACTTCTAGTTAAATAGTAGCGTTGCCCTACTAAGAGGCCACGTTCACGAATCGCTGAACAATCTTGCTTTGGCAGTAAACTGCTATAAGGAGGCGTTCCGGTTGGATCCATTCTGTTTTGAAGCACTAGAACATTTACTAAAACTAGAGGCTCTCTCCGATGATGGTTTGTCATATTCTCTTCCTGATTTTTAGATGAAAAAAGAATCACAAAGTTGGAATTTCCTGGGTTTTCTCAGGCTCTATCATCCGCCACCAGGAACATATATTTGTACAAAGTCCCCCAGATCAACCCTACCGGTGGTTTTGCGGAAATGACACCACTGAAAAGCAGCGTTGATGTTCTACTTACGCAAGCTGAATATCTTTTGTCGATCAATCACTACAGGAAGTGCTTCGAAGTAACTTCGCGGTATGTGTAGCACTAGTATTCATTCTTGCTTAATAGCATCCTGGAAAATGATCCATTAAACCCAGAATGTTTGCCAGTTCACATATCTGTGTTGAAAATGTTGGATAAATCAAATGGTAAAGTGTACTGCTTTTATATCGCTTTTAGACCTATTTATGCTTGCAAATAACCTTGTTAGAATCTTCCCAAAGTCCGCTGTAAGTGTACTTGGTTGCAGCTAATCATTGAAAAAGATTTCCTGGTTCGCAACGGGTTCCTATTACCTGTGTACTCACAAGAATGATCTGGCTAAACGTCACCTTAGGTGAGCTTTGCAATTGTTTCATACCCATTTTCCATCGTACTCCCAAGAGGATCACTATAAACCTTTTTGAGTTGTTTATTTTTACTTCCCACAACCAGGTTCTTCTGGGCTACAAACGAGCAGTTGGTTATTTTTAAAGCTAATAATGTAGGGCAGTGGAATTTATTTCAATTCTGTTTCATCGATAGAAAAGCTACTCAAGAGGATCGTCGATTTGGACCTGCATGGTTGGCACTGGGACACGCTTACGCCACCGACAGTGAACACGATCAGGCTATTGCTGCCTACTGCACTGCCGCCCAGATCGTTCGACAGTGAGCCTCTATGCTCATTATTCCTTGATTTTTATGTCTTCAATCTTTAAATATTCGTCTACCCCAGTTCTCATATGCCGATGCTGTACATTGGGGTGGAGTATAGTTCGAGTGGAAACCAAGCTCTAGCAGAACGCTTTATGCAACATGCTCTTCAGCGCAGTCCCTCTGATCCTGCTGTTCTTCATGAATTGGGAACCCTGGCTCTCAATCTCAAACGGTTCGTTGGTCTTGTTTGTTTTCGTTTTTTTAACGGCAATCAAGGTGGCGTTGGAGGCGAAATCTTGTTTATTTTGCCAAAACTAATATTTTGAGAGTGTTGCTCCCGAATTCAAGGTACTAAAGTTAGGGTTACCTAATTTTTGCCTGCCTCTCTATCCTCGGATTCTGGTCGATGTTACTTGAGATGTAGTCTTATCTTTATTGCCATCAGACCAAGTATTGAAATGTAGTTTTATTCCAGTGTCTTGATCACCTAAGTGATTTAGACTAACATTCTTCTGCCTCACTTAAGATACAACAAGGCATTGAAGCTGTTGAAACAGGCCTATCACAGCATCTCCCAACTCAGCGGTCAAGTTATTGCGCCCTATTGGGAACCCCTACTCAACAATTTGGGTCACGCCTATCGGGAACTTGGGTGTGTTTCAACATTCAATATCTCGCCATTTTCAATTCTCCCTTGGGATATTTGTTTGCATGTCTTGTTTAGTTTTATTAGCTTATTTCACCAAACAGTGTAAAATTAAAACAAATTTTTCGTGGTTTGAGGAATGACATAAGCGTTGGGTGTCCTTTGTAACTGATCGGTAACTGATTTCGTAAAGAAAACGTCGAGATATTTGTTATCATGTTAGTAGAATTAATCACGAACTGTAGTG